TTTTTTTTCAGATGAATGCACAGAGGCATTCGAGTGGCATGTCCATGTATCAGCATCGCACACCCATACAACATGCCTTTGCATACTCGAATAGTACCATTCCCGCATCCCCTACGTCGCGCATCTCATCTTCATCCTCCGCCTTTTCGCAGCGGCCCCAGGCTGTTGTGCCACCGATGACTGCTTCGCCTGTTGGAAAACAAGGTTATTATTATATGTTTTGCGCTATGTAACAGCAGCACAAAAGCATATTGCTACGCTTTTGTCCCTGTGTGTGTGTGTCCGAGTTCGCTTTGTATGACACTTTCAACTCGAGAACCATAAAAGCTAGAAAAGCAAAATTTTTAGAAAACGCCCCTCAAGTGCATTTGTTCTCCGCAAATTCAAATTCAGCCTTGACTGGCTGCCACGTACAGCTCGTAAAAGATTCAATGGGAGAATTATTAACTCGGTAACCGCAAAAGCTAGGAATATGAACAAATTTTTAAAATGTACCGGCCTGCATACGACTTCGCAAATTTAGATTCAGTCTTCACGCACATCCTTAGTAGCCAATCGTAATTCAAGAAATTTGGAATCTAACTGTTGAACGCTACAGCGGAAACAAAATATAGCTTTGAAAATTAAGCTCCTTTCACGAGATTTCAGCGTTCTGTAAATTTTGTATTTGTTGATGATTTTCCATTGAAAGGAGAAAGTTCTTTTTTTAAATAATTGTTTTTGTTTATAATTAGTTTTGGAGAACTTTCCAGAGGCACATTCCGAAAGAAATGACGGTTGTGAAAAATACGATAATGCAACACCGGACATCAAAAACAACAATGCATTTATGCAAGAATGTCTAACGAATCGTCATCAATGTGCTCCGTGTTTGCGGACAGAATATACTACTAGTGCTTTGGATCGCATGACAGTGACTGCCGATAATCCACAACCTGTGGTTTCGGGTGCAAAAGAAGCTGACGCCATTCATGAAAATGCAAAAATATCTCGGACGATTATATGCACAAGCCCACGACGTTCCGCTGCTGTTGCTGCTGCTGAAGCATTAGGGGAACAGATATGTTTGTCGCCGATTTCCGAAGATCTCAGGCTGTCAGGTAACACCCGAAAATAATCACATAGGGAATGGTTTTGTTATTTTTTAGAAATGGGATAAGTTAGAACCTGAAATGGGCGAGTGAACTTGAAATTCAGCCAGACCAACGCAGTAATTTATTAGTAACAAAGCACATCGAAAATTCGCTCAGTTAGGTATCAAAAATAGGTATTTAATTTATAACGACACTGCAAGCAAAACTATGCCAATGCGAAATCCAGATCTTGAGCTGGCACGAAAAAAAGGGCTACTATCTCGAAATATTTTGACGGGAAACGGCAAAATCGTCATTTCAGTTACAGTTTTTACTGCTTCGAGGCAAGAAAATTATCGAACTGAATTTCATGTTGCATATTTTTTTTTTTCCGAAAGTGTGGCGCATGCCCTGTTCGGTGAGAAAAAACAAGTTTTGGAGTTGCTCTACTTTTTATTAAAATTTGATATTTGAGTTTGTCGGTTTGGATTAATCAGTCATTGACAAGATAATTACAGGTAGCAATGGTCAGAGTGTGTCGGAGTCCATATCAGCAGTAACATATGTTGCATCAGCATCAAGTAATGTGAGCGCTTCAGGTACGATGACACGCCTGATCGCTCCCACTGCTGCTGTCTCATCATCTGTTAAAGTAAGGGATTCCAATTCTTTTTTCGGCTCTGCACTAATTACAATTGCGCTACTGACTAGATTCACAAACGAAAAGTTCGCTGAAATGGTCAATAAGCATTTTTTATGAGTTGCAGTGCCAGAAAGAGGCTTTCTTATGCATAATTACTGAAGAACTCCTAACTTGCTCAACAGTAAAGATTGTACACTGTAGCTACTTCTATGCCAGGAAATAAATTTCTGTATTATTACTGGTATTTTTTGATTTTTTTTGAAGCAATGAAAAAAGCTTGTTGGGGAAACTGTCATGTAATGATCAAAAATGCATTCATGGAAATAAAAATTTAATAAATATTGGAATATCTACTACTTTAATTACCTTTTTTACAC